CAGTAATCCAGACCCAAGAAAACTATTGGTAATAACCTTATACCCTCACTTGGGAATGTGAATCATCCAAACATGTGTATCTTTAACCCGGAAAAAAAATATTACTGCCAAGAATCCAAAAATCCATGAACCAAACACCCCCTAAAACTAAATTTATCATATCATTAACTCAAAGTATTCCCCCCTTTTCTCTGCGCCACTTCTCCTCTTTCTTCCCCTGTCATCTCCCTCATGCTCACAAGAGGTGATGTTCCCCTCTTTGCTCTCTTCCTCCTGTTTTTCAACATTCATCACACAGTCGTGGATTTCAACAGCTACCTCCCAACGTTGTCGCTCCGATTGGCATCAAACCAGCTCGAGAAGCCTGATCAAACAACCTTAAACGAGATGACACCCCTAACATGGCTCACTCTTGGTTATATTCTAACCCTTTCTTTTTTATTTACCTCAATCTAAAACTATGGAACCCGACGCTGCCAACCTAACGCTTAAAGCTCATACGATTTCGGTGAGCTTTTATCTCCTATTTTGTTTTATTATTTGCGTTTCAATTCCATATACATGCACTGTAAAGTAAAAAATGAAATGAGAGAATACCTTTATAAATTTTGTATTGCTTTCAATGAAAACGGGGAAGACCCCAGTTACACTGTTTATGTGGGTTTCACAATACCCTCGTTACAAGAACAAAGCTTTCTTTTCGTGTTTCTTACTTGCTCTTTGTTACTGTTGAAAAGTCGTGCCTTCATCTGGTTTTTGTGTTTTTTCTGCCTTCCCCCCCTCAAAAGCATTTCCATGTTTTTATAGTGGAATTTGGTTGTTGTTTAATGGATGCTCCACTAGTATAAGAGTAGTGGTAGAGTATATTAGGTAAGGATACCTAATTTATGAGATTTTATTTGATTAAAAAATGGATTTAGTGGATGGCTTAATTTTTTGGTTGATTTTGGTTGCTGCTTGACATAGGTGATGACGATGATAGCTTTGGATGGCTTTTAGAAATATTCGACGGTGGCTTTGCTCGGCTGTGGGAATTTGGATGGTCACCGGTGGCGCTGGCAACTTGTTTTAGGGTTAGAAAACCCTATTCTAAAATGAGTAGGTTCGGGTCGGATCCGGGACTGGTTCGGGTCTTCGGGTCTGGGCTCCAGCTGGATCTTGTAATTGAATCTTGTAATTTGGGCTGCAATTGGACTTCTGTTGAGTATGGATTGGGCTTCTGTTGAGTATGGATTGGGCTTCTGTTGAGCTTTGTAATGGGCTCTAGTTTTTTTTATTTGGCATGCATGTAAATTAATAATAATAATAATAATTTAATAATATTATTAATATTTTTTACCCGGACAAAAACTGGTGTCTACAGCTGCTCTTCAGGGCAGGTTAAATCGGGAAAGAAAATGGGGTATGCTCTGTTGTTCTTCAGGATAGGTTAGATCTTGAAAAGTCCATATATTTTGTAAAAATCCATATATCATTTGAATTTCTTAATCTAGTGTTGAATTTCATCTTCTTGAATCCTTCCTCCTAAAAATTTCGCACGACTTATCTTTACTTTCAACCTCAAAATCATTGGTCTTCCACTTTCTTCAGAAGACATGTAAATATTAATTGCATAATAATCATGTATTTTATGAATGTCATGATCCTATTTATGTCTATAATGTATGTAATAATGCAATTCTTTTTGCATGTTCAATTTTTGAGGAAGAAAATGTCATTCTCTTGTATATTGCTTCATGAATGGATCACATCTTAGAGATGAACATCAACAATAATTCACCTTGACCCACAAACTTAATCAACATAATCCTTTATTAAACGAGGTCATGTCCCTCTTTTTCTTTGCAAACACCACCAATCATTTTTTAAGGTGGGATTGAAACACTATAAAATCGAGTAATTTAATAAAACATTTACTTTTTATCAAAATATCAAGTTTAGAGTCTGTAAAAACGAGAAAATAGGTTCGGGAGTCGGTTAACACCCCCACAGCGCCCAGAAATTGGTACCTAGTCGATTACCCCATTTTAAAATAAAAAAATTTTGAATTCGAGATTCATTTAATTTATAATTAACACGTTCTGAAAATCACTAAAATAATAACAATTATATGGGGAAGCACATGATGGAACGAAGAATGTGAAAGGCAGCTAGCTGGCCATTAGCCAATTTTTTGCTCCATAACTAATGGTAATATTGTTCTTTATATATGTCATTGTCTCTTTTTTATTCATATATCCAGCAATATCTGTTTGACTTGAACGTAGTATATATATTTCCACCGTTTTGGGATCATCAACTCCAAAGTAGGCTTTGATTAAAAAAAATCTTTCTTTCCTCTTAGCCAAATCCGAGAGAGAAAGAGAGACGGGTTCAACTGCAGTGCATGATGGTGGAGAAAATGATCATCTTCTCCAAAAGCAACTTTCTCACATGGAGAAAATGATCATCTTCAACTGCAGTGCATGAAGGATGAATATACCATCCTCATCAGCAGACCTCTTTCTCCTCACTTTGTTTCTTCTTTTTGTTCTCTGCATTCATCTTTACTTGAGATTATTATTATATTTTGGATATTTTAGTCAAAAACGAGCTTAAGCTTACGTATCTATAGTAGCCATGGAAACCGCCAAGTTTGAACTAGAATTGACACAACCTGACAAGCCTTGCGTGCCAGAAATCTATGTATAAAATTGGAAGTCTTTAGATAAAAATGGAAGTTTTTATATATATTGGCCAAAAAAGAAATCGTGGATGTTTTAAGTACTAAAAGATTTGAACGTTCAGTAATTAATATTTTGAGTTTTTTTTATTTGATTAAATTACATAGATGTTTTAAAGAAATGAGAATTGAGCGGGGTCATGGATTCACTGTGGTTACCACTTGACGACATCAATTGTTGCGCCACCGCTTCTGAGTCTCCCGTTTGCTTTCACCTTCCTGGGATGGGCTGCCGGAATCATGTGTCTGGTGGTCGGAGCATTGGTCACTTTCTATTCTTACAACTTGCAATCTCTTGTCATTGAGCACCATGATCAATTGGGTCGTCGACATCTAAATTTCAGAGACATGGCCAACGATATCTTAAGTAAGCATTACTTCAAATTGCAAATATAATTATAAACATAAGGGTAAATTATTTGTTTGATCACCCACCTATTATTTAGTTTTTGTTTTGTTCGCTTAATTATTATTTTATTTTTAAAATTATATATAATGTTACGTTTTGATTATGTTTTAGTCAACTATCGTTAAAAAAATAATAATGATACTAACATGTCATCATAAGGTAATACTACGCCATATTAAAAAATAATTTAAAAATACCATATCATAATCATCGTTAATTTTTTAACGATAAATGATTAAAACAAAAACTAATTAAAAAGTAGATGACCAGATAGATAATTTACCCTAACAATAATATATATTTATTAGAAAATGGGGGATGGTTGATGAATGATTAGAAATCGAGGGGATTCTTTCTTTTGCATTATTGATCGACAAAAATGCATCCTTGTATGTGATATTAAATTAACAAACTTAAATGCCTATGACCAAGCCATACGCGGTCCATTATGTACCTTACACTTGTGAGTTGCTGTATGATTCCAAATTCTGGCATGGGCAGGGCCAAGATGGGGTCGTTATTTTGTTGGGCCAATTCAATTCATGGTGTGCTATGGTGCTGTAATAGCCTGCAGTCTTCTTGGAGGACAATGTATGAAGGTAAGCTCATAATTAACCCTACCTTTTTTTATAGTTTAGAAACTAAAAAGAAAGCATTAATCAATTATAGTCCTGAAAAATTGTTTCCAATTCTGGCAGGCAATTTATTTGCTATCAGAACCAAATGGGAGTATGAAGCTTTACGAATTCGTGATTATATTTGGAATTTTGATGCTGATTTTAGCTCAAGTCCCATCTTTTCACTCACTAAGGCACATCAATTTGATATCTTTGTTTCTTTGCCTTGCCTATAGCTCCTGTGCCGCTGCTGGCTCCATTTATATTGGTAATTCTGCACGCTGAGAACTTTGTTTCAATCATCTGTTTGTTAAAATGATTCTGGATGATTTTGTTTCCAGTGAATTCTTCAAAGGGACCGAAGAAAGATTAGAGCCTGAGAGGTGATACCGAAAGTTAAATTGTTGGAATCTTCAACGCCATTGCCATTATCACCACGACTTATGGCAATGGTTCATCTTGATGACAAACCTCTTCACCATTCTCCAACTATCAGCAGTTGGTGTGGTAATGACATGCCTTCCCTCCCTTTTACTGAGCTTCATATCTACATTGCCCATCGAACTTTTCATTTTTCTTAAAATAACTGTATCAAACACTTACTTCCCAATTTGAGCGACATGGTCGTTTGTCACAGGTCGTCTTGCAGCCTACAAATGAAGTGCTGGAAAGAACATTTGCAGATCCAAATAGCAAAGAGTTCTCTGCCTGCAATGTTATCCCGAGCTTGGTTTCGAGATCACCGTCTGTTGTTATTTCCACAACAGTTGCAGCAATGCTTCCTTTTTTCGGAGACATCAATGCGGTCATTGGAGCTTTCGGTTTCATGCCCCTCGACTTCATTTTACCTGTTGTTTTCTTCAACTTGACGTTTAAGCCATCGAAGTGGAGTCTTGTATTTCGGTTGAATTTTACCATTGCAGTGGTTTTCTCTGCACTGGGAGTTATAGCAGCCATTGCAGCAGTAAGACATAGTTCTTGATGCCAAAATTATAGATTATTTGCTAATGTATGATGTATCCAGCCAAGTTTATCGATGCCTGGCCTTGTATCCTGTAGATCATTAAATTGAGAGGGGAAACTGTTGAATGAATCAATCTTTGATTTAAATTTATGCATTGAAATTGTTGAAAGATAGTAACAGAAGCTCAAAAGGGGGAAAACAAGAAACATCAGCTGCAAATCTGCAGCATACAGCTAAATGACAATTTATCACTAACTCTCGTACAAAAACCTAAGATGGAGCAATAAAAATGTAATGCTGATAAAAATCATATGTGAAATAAAGCTCTAATACTTTTCAAATTTATGAATCCATATCCTCTAAATGTCCAAATTCCTTCTTCCAAAAGATTGTGCTTCTTCAGGTGTCCGAAATGTCCAAATATGGGACTCAGCTTTCTCACGAGCTACAAGAATTTCCTGTTTTCAGCAGGAGCAGTTCGTTATTCGGGAAAATATAGCACAGGTAAATGCAACAACCATTTGAAGTTTTTTCTAGGTAGAAAAACCAAATAGTTGGGCAGACAATAAGCCTCCCTACAGATCCTAGTCATCGTTCCTTTACATGGAATGTTATTGTCATTGGCATTCATAAATGAAATTCTATGGTTTCGTATCCACCACAACTCCCCCCACCCCGAAAAAAAAAGAATAGTCATCGTTCCTTTACATGGAATGTTATTGTCATTGGCATTCATAAAATGAAATTCTATGGTTTCGTATCCACCACAACTCCCCCACCCCCAAAAAAAAAAAACAATACATATATATAACACCCAAGCCTAGGCCTAAGGCTCTCCTCATTAAAATTTTGCCATATCAGTAACTCTCTCCAATCTTCACCATCACATCCATCAAGGGCTTCATTTTTTTTTAAAACTAAACAATGCAAAATGTAAATGCCTTACCTCTCACCTAAGAAATATCAGTATTTACTTATTTATATGTCTAGCAATTAGTCTTTTCGTGATTCTCGCACATTAGTTTTTCCACACCACTCTTTGTACGTAAGTTATTTAAACCATTTAAATGTATGCGAAGATATTGAACTAAGACATCAAGGTAATCCTCTCGCCCTTGCCCCACATAAGTTCCTTTGCAATACTCAGCTTAGCCACTTAACCCTTTTTTGGTTATATCCCTATTTATAGTCATCTTTCCCTTCCACTTAGTTTGAGGTTACAATGGTAACATACTTGAAGAAAAAGTATTTGATTGTCTCTGAGGTAAATGTTAAAATCTTTTGAACCAGGGTTGGAGAGAGGAGGGGGTTATCTTTCATTTCTTTAATATTTTTCTTAAAACTTTTCATTATAGGATTAAAAAAATGTTTTGCCTCCCTAAAAACCTATGATTTAGGGGTTGTTTGTTTGCCTCTTAATGGAACCATTCAGTATTGAATGCTGAATTGTTCAACATTCAACGCATTTGTTTCACACCTTTGAATGATTCAGTGCTGACTGATTCAACAAAACAGTATTGAATGATTCACCACAGAAGTACATTCTGAATGATTCAGAGCCATTATCAAACAGCATGTCATATTCAGAGTTAATTCATACAGAGCATCTGAATCATTCAGCATTTGAATCATTCAACGCTTAATCATTTTGAAATAAACAAACAGCCCCAAAGTCTGCTTTCATCCTCTTCAAGTAAAATTTCTAGCTTTGTCCCAATTTTAAACCTATGTTACTCAGACTCTTCATTTCACAAAAGCCGTGTGCAACATATATTTAACCATAAAGGAGTTAGTTCTTCCAATATATGAAAAAAAACTCTAAAGAAAAATGTGCATGCTCATATCAGACACATCCTTTACGACAGGTAACACAGCTTTGAACTTTACTAAACATATTGAAATTTCCCATTAATCACTATTGAAGAGACAAAGTCACATAACTAGAAACATCTCACTAAAGTTACTACTAGTTGATGCTTGAAACATAAAATTAAAATCAATTGACACTATTTTTTTCATTATGATTAGTCGTTTAATGTCATCATTTAACATTTACAAGAATATGGCGGATTTAGGATACTAAGAAAGGCCCACTTTAAGAATTGAAATTGAGAACAAGTTCATAGACTCATAGTAAGGGGTTTTTCAATTGAAATATATATCTTACAATTAATATTGAGATTAGTGATCAAAAGCGACTCAAATGGAAATATATTTTACATATACAATTGTCAAATGTTTATCTTCAATCGTTCCTCTAATCAGATTTTAGCTTATGAAGCAATATTTAAGCATAAAGCAACTATTAATTAGTTTATAAAACAAATATCACAATAAAATTAATTATAAGTTGAACTAATATTAACGTAAAAATTGAAATAAAGAGAGGGGAAAGAACCTCGAGTTGAGAAGAGGGCTTGGTTTTCAAATACAAACAATCCCAAAGAGCACTCCACTTTCCATAGCAATTATCAAGAACTCCTACTCTATAATATTGTTGCAATTGATGAGCCGGGGCTGCCGAATAAATTAGCAAAACCATTAATTCACTAAAAAATGGATAAACTGAAATTCGTAAGAAAAAAGAAGGGGAAATATAGAGGGGATGTTTACAATAACAAAACCAGAGAGCATCGAAGCATTTGGTGCAGGTTAAGCGACGCCGAGACTGAGTAGCGGAGGATTCTTTTTCGGCACTCATTTTCCTCTCCGCCGATCTGGTCTGCCTCTCGACTCGATTCTTTGTTGATTTTTATGTTCCGGATTTGCCGTGAAATCGAAAAATGGAGTAATACGACGGCGTTGTAGATTTTTTGAGTTAGAGGTGGGCTTCGGTATCAACCCTGAGCTGAAAATATAGTTGAATTACTAGGCCCAAAGTCAATTACCAATTTTGGTATAATATCATTATTATTTTAGTCCCCGCACTATGTTGAAAGCGTCATTTTCCTTCATTTTTTTTACATAAAGTTTTGGTCAGGGCTAGTTACCTTAGTTCAGGGTCAATGTGTATTTAAGTATTAATTAAAATTTATATAAAAAATTATAGATTATTTATTAAAAATGACGATGCTATGATTTAAACTTGATCTTATAAGTTCATATTCTTAAATTTCAACCACTTATATCAATACTCGTTGGCATTCATTTTCCTTCTGAAATACTTGGTCCTTCAATTTTTATGTGTTTAAATGTAATATTGTGGAAATAATACTCATTTTATGTCTATTTATTCAAAAGGTTTTTAAGCAACTTTATTTAGGAAACTAGCATCCTTGCTAACAATGTTTTTAAAATACTTGTTTTTGTAAGATATGTCTCTATTGACCTGGTAGATTTTTTCGAGTATAATTTTTAAAGTTTATAATCTAAAATCAATATAAAAATATAATAATGGATTTTTTTTTAAATTACGAAATGTTATCTAAAATAAAAAAAATAAAAATAATAGACACAATTTTAAATTATAAATTTTTATTCAAAAAATTTGACACATGTGGCACATATAAAAAATATATATTTATACAAGCACGAGCTAACTGAAAGATAGCAACGACGCAATGTATATTTATCTTTAGCCATTCCTTGAGTACATGTTTAAAAAAAATTTTATTCAAACAATTGAAAAATAATACATATGGAGTATAAACAATGTGATATTTAAGAATATTAGGACTAGAATTTATTGATTTTGAGTTGATAAATACAATTCTTGAATTTGATTATTTTAGACACTTATTTTCATCCGGGACTTCAAGAGTCTTTATTACATTGTATAGTATATATATGATATCATATATAATAATTTCAAAAATATATAATATACATAGTTTTGAAAAATATATATTATAATTTTTGAAAACATGTTTTTAAAAACATATAATATATAGTTTTCTTAAAAATTATTTTTTTGAAAACATATATATAATATAGTTTTTGAAAACATAATTTTTGGAAAATATATATTATAATTTTTTAAAACACGTTTTCCTATCTTTTTTTATTTTATTAGTTTATTTTATTCTTTTTTTGTTTCGGTCCAATCAGGTAAGGTCCAAGTCTAGGAAACCCCGACCCGATAGTCCAAAGGTAAGGTCCAAGTCCGGGACGCTCAAGCCGCCTGATCCAGCGAGCTAGGGTTTCATATCAAATTAAGGCACCGCACGAGAGGAAGTAAAGAAAGCGTGAGGACCGCGTGCTAACAGCACCGAGAATCCTGGGCCAATTTCTAGTGACCAACCAGCCGAGATCTTTAGCATCTCAAAGTACCCAAATCGCAAAAATTCGGAGCAACTCAAGACTTAACCATCCCAAGATTTTCGGCCAATAACGACCTCCTTAAGCCTGAGTAAAACGAGGACGAGGGAAACGACCTCGTTGCCATCTGAAATAGCCCCGTCGGGGTCTATATAAATACAACTTCGGGCAATTGAAACAACAGGGAGAAAAAAACTCAGAACAAGCACCAAGAAAACCAATAGAGAAAAAACTCAACCATATACAACAAATATAGAAAAAAAGAGTCAAAGTAAAAAAGCAAAAAAACAGCCGAGATCGAAAGCAGAAAAATCAAAGCTTGAAGCTTTGCTACATCACAGGCCGCTGGAAGTACGTAGGAGCCTCATCGAAAAGGAAATGCCACCGGAAGTTGAAAAGGTTCGTCGGAAATAGGTAAAAAAAATGAAACTTTATTGTTAGATCTACGTCGGTTGGTTCTTTTTTAAGGCGTTTTGACTTTGGTTTTGGGCTCGAAGTAACAAAAGGAGTATTTTGGGTATTTTAGATTTTTTCCAACCATCGCCTCTGGTGGCCGGCGGTAGCTCTTTGGGTGCCGACAAGTGGCCGGCTATGTAAGGGGAGAGAGTTTGAGATGGGTTGAGAGAGTTTTTTTTGGGTGAAATTGGTTTAAATGTTTTTTTTTGTGATTTTAGGGCTATTTATAGGGAGAGCTTCTATGTAATTATGAAATTCTTAAATTATTTTCGCAATCATTGCAATTTTGATGAGTAATTCATTTTTGTCACATGTTATAAATCTGCCCTTGAATTTTAAATTAATTTAATTTAATCTCCATTTATATTTCTTATATTTTGCAAATTGACCCCTAATTTTTATTTTTCCTTCCAGCTTTCAATTAACATCAATTTGACCCACAATTTTTAATTATTTCCAATTTAATATTTGTTTTCTTTTAATTTAATACCTTTTATTTTATTTTATTTAACATCAATTTGACTTTTTTAGGGAAATTTCAATTTGGTTAAAATTAAATAATTAAGATTGAATATTTAAATTTAAATTTTAACTTTTAATTTTTGTAATTAAGACAATCGGGAAATCAAATTGGTATCGAAATGGTAACTAGGGGTGTAAACGAGCCGAGTCAAGCTCGAGTATTGCTGAGCTCGACTCGACTCGAAAACTCACAAGCTTAAAATTTTCAAGCTTGACTCAAACTCGAAATCCTGAACTGAAGCTCGTGAGCAGCTTGAAAAGGCTCGAAATGAAAAAAAAAATTCTTAAACTTAACTCGATTGAAGCTTCAAACTCAAACTCGAATATGAACCTTAAATACATAAAAATCTTACTGTATTTTTAAAAAAATACATAAATATTAATATTATTAAGATTTTATTTTCTAAAAAAATAAAATCTTAATATATTATATTTTCGAGCTGCTCACGAGCTTTTCGAGTCGAATATCGAGTAGCTCGTTTCGGCTTGTTAAGAACTCGAGTCGAGCTCGAGCTCGAGCTCTAGACGAGTCCATTCGATCCGAATATTTATCGGGTCGATCTCGAGTAGCTCGCGATCTGTCTTGTCTCATTTATAGCCCTAACAACAATACATATGTGCTAATCCTTCTCTGACTATGATCGACTCCCTGATCCGACAAGTTTTTGGTAAGTTGTAGATCAAATAACGATAAGTTATGGTATCCAATCAACCAAATTAAAATGATCGGTGAAAATCCCAACATATCAATCAAGTCGGAACATGATTCTACGACCACTCGAATGAAGGTTACGACAATTATATTCATATCAATACCATAATCAAAGATAATTATTACCTTATGATACACTCAAAATCTGAATATCTAATCTTATTTTTAAATATCATATTTATACAAATTTAATTAAATTTTAGAATTGTTTTTAATAATTTAAATTCAACAACATTTTGACAATGCGATTCTAAAATCCCACATCATCTATACATAAGTTTTTAAGCCAGTATACTTTTACTTGAAATAATAATAAATTGTTTAAATAGTGCTCTATGCAACATCAATATATTCAAATTTATATAATATTAAATATTATTTAATTAAAATATATATTTATGTTATTAAAAATAATATAACATAATAGCAACGTTTTTGAAATTTTAAACTAAAACTTAGTTCATTTTACGTTAAGACGTAATCATTTTACGTTAAGACGTATTGTTAATCGTTTCTCTTTCTTTAACCCTTTTTTTTAAAAAAATTTTGTGATACATTCTTTCTTTTTTTATTTTTATTTAGTCGACGACAACATTAATTTTAATATTAATTGTGATCACTAATGATTATTATTTATTTTATTTTATTCACATTGTGCCATTTGTTTTCTTTTTTTTCTTTAGTTCTTTTTAATTTTCAATAAGGATCTTTGTCCTTACAATATACTTTTCTTTGCTCTTATGTCACGTGTTATTTCTGCTTTTGTGACATGATCCTTACGACTTTTAGTATGTTTTTCGTACATTTTTGCCGTCATTTTGGTGTTTACACAAAAATTATCACAACACTTATTTTTTTAATTGATTTATCAGTTGTTACGTATAATCATATTCCCTCTTTGGTAAAAAGTTATTTGTCGATATACTCAAAAATGTGAAACGAAACAGCTTACCAGATAGTTTGATTCACTCACTACTCTTTTATCACTTTGTAAAACGTGTCGTTCGACATATACAATAATTTTTTTAAGGTTATTAGGGTTTTTTTTTACGTTAATCATCATTCTCAATAGAATATTATATTTTTCTTTATATATGTAAATTTTATGTTTTTAATGAAATTTTGATAGTTATTGTCTTTAAATTTATCTTTATATTTGGATATATTATAATTTGATTATTTTTATTAACGAAATTCAGTTGATGTCGTAAAGAAAATTACATTAAGACGTTTCGATTTTAAGTAGGGATAAAAATAAAAATACGTCGATGTTATCGTCAACTAGGGATGGCAAACGGGTACAGTTTCGTGGATTCCACACCGCATCCGCTTCAATTGGAGCGGGGATGGGTATAATTTTAGCGGATAGTGGGCGGGTGTGGATTTATAAAGTGGTACCCGTCGTGGGTGGTGGGCGGGTAATGGGTTTGAGACATTACCTGCCCCACATCCGCCCGCCCAGCTAAATATCTATTAAATTTTGGACCATTATGAATTTAGGTGTAATTTTAGAGACTAATCTATAAATTTTAATATTGTATAATATATAACATATAATTTAACCAAATATTAAGGATATTTAGTCTTTAATATGATCTTTAATTATGGAAATATTAGGCTCTTTGATTAAACCCATAATCTCACTAACCACGTCACTTTCCATGTTCTTTAGCCCATGTTGCCCATCCAAACACAAATTAGCCGTACTATATGCATTAACATCAAAAGCAGCAGTTTCCATGTTCTTTAGCCCCTCAAAACCCATATTAGGCACACTA